CCAGCATTGTTTCCATCTTCGTAACATGGCGTTCCACACTTGCGGTACTATTCTCCATCTGCGCACGTAACAGTACTCTACTCCACCGATTGGATGCTCTGATACCAATGTTAGGTACACGGAAATCTGGCGATGAATTGTTGAATCCTAAAACTGAAATTGTTGAAACTGAACAAAAACAATACAGATGAGGCAAATTTGAGAGTGCATCGTCTCTCCCAAGTCCCAGTCCAATCCAATTTTCTGCCTGCCTATTCCACCCCTTTTCCCCCCTTTTATACACTTTCTATTCTTAAGGGCCGCGGCCCATACTTCCTGAATTTCATGGCCCAGAACGTTTTTTAAACCTGGAAGGCAAACCACCAAAATTAGTGGGGCAAATGCCGGGGAACATTTGCCAAGTTTTATTAAAATAGATACAAATGAACAGAAAGAGAGGGGGACAAGACCAAAACCTCTCCAGAGAAGGTATGCCTTCTCGAAAATACAACGGATTAAATAAAATAAAACGAATATAAATTGGGGGGCTAGGCCTGACCCAGTTTATAAAATACAACGAAAAAGCCGAAAATCAAAAAATAGCCCAGCAAAAAACCAGACCAAAAGAAAAAGTCAATAATATCATGGCCCAGACAATTTATTTATACAATAACACTATTTAATAATACTCTATTATTCTTATTATTATTCTAATATCACTGGGAAAAATTTAAGGAAGCAGTAATTCGAAGGTTCCAACTGGAGATGGTTCAAAAATCAAAACTCGTTTGGTCTCGTGTTTAGCGTGAAACAGACAGGGTCAGTTATGGAGTATCGGGACAAATTTGAACTGGTAGTATCCCCCAATAGAACTACTGACAATGAAATGCTTAAGGGTACTTTCATGAATGGCCTGAAGGCTGAAATCATAGTTGAACTCAAATTATACCCAACTGGCCAACTCAGAGTCTGACTGGGCTCATGGACCGGGCACTTTTAGTGGAAGAAAAAATGCAGCACTAAGGATAAGAAGTTCCAAGGAGGAAGGCAAGCGAGTATGGAAAGAAAAAGCAGGAGCTCTATCCACGCCTCAACAGTAGATAGAAGGGAACGGGTGGAGACATGACCAAAATAATACCAGTCTCACTGAGAATGTTTCAGCTGATATTCAAACTAAGGAAGCACAAAAGCTGAACCGAAAATGGAAGGGAGGCCAAAGGTTGTCACAGGCTGAGCTAAAAGAAAGAAGTAGAAAGGGTCTGTGTTTCAAATGTGGAGACAAATGGAGTAAAGAACGAGGAAGCAGTCCAGCTCAGCTGGTCGTCGACTCACTCTCCCTTATGGGAGGTCCCGGGTTCAATTCTCAATGGAGTGAGATTGGTCCTAGTTTACCTCAGGCCCCCCAAACCCCCCTCCCCCGAGGCCCCGGCCCCCCTGGGGTAAAAAATGGAGTAGAGAACATGTTTGAGGAATGAGACATTATCAATTTGCCCTTATGGATGTAGCAGAAATTCTGTTGAAGCCAAATGCCAGAACAGCTTCTTATCATCCACCTTGAGGATAAGGTGGAAGTTCATGGGGGAGTGATGATAGGGATCCGGACACTACTAATAATAAGAGTCTTATTAAGTAATTTAATATTGTTCAGTAATAGGGTTTTAGGCCCAGTAACTTAGTTGAGGTAGCCGGAGATAGTCGGGACTGAGAATTGGGAGAGCGATACCTCTCAAAGAGTCTCAAACTGTTTTTCCTCTTTACCATTTCAGTATTTTCTTCTAAATCGACATCTACTTTTCCTTTTACTATTCTGGTTCTTATTAGTGTGGGTGAGTTCTCAAACAGTCTGTCGCGATTCAGAAGTTATGGAACTGCCCTGAGGCACTATAGTAGGTGAGTTCTGTCGTGGTAGGGGTTGATGGGACATGATTAAAAGATGTGTCACAGTCTGTAGCTTCCGTTCAATTTGTCGAGCCAAACTCATTGTGACGTCCAAGCTTCCAGGGGCTTGAAACTCAAGTTCTGAACGGATGTCAAGACAAAGTCCTGCCATGAATGCCTTGACCTCAAATTTGCTTGGTAAGCCTTCAACATGTGCCAGTAGTCGTTGGAAAAGGTCTCCTGAAGGATTAGAGCTTAACGGGGGCTCAAAACGGAGAAGACAAATCTCTACAAATATTTTCTAGGATATGCCAGATTGGAGTTATTTTCCATCATTCGCATTGTTAGACAGGCAGCAAGGCAGCCTGTAGAATTTTATAATAAAGTGTATAAAAGGAGAAGTAATAAGACTGCTGCTAATAACTAATAACTAACGGATTGGTTAGTTAGTTAATTAGTCTGTTGTCCCTGCGTGGATCTTTACTATAAATAGAGGTGTTCAGCTAGCAGAAGTAGGTTGGAATTTGGCTAGAACAGGACTGCGAGACTGGACATCTCGAATTGTCTAAAATTTGTATACTTTGATTGGATGAATAAAGTGTGTGTTCTATATTGTGTGATCTGTGATCTATCATTGGTATCAGAGCATTACGCTCCTGGCGACTACAGAATTGATCGGAGAAGTACCAAATTCCAGAAATTTTTTTCTATCAAAGGGTGGATGGTTAAAACAAGAGGAAGTATGGATCATTGCATGGATTCGATGGAACAAAAGCAGCAGGAGATGCAATCAGCACAGGAAAGGAATCAACAGGAGACGCAATCAGCGTTAGAGGTCCTCGCAGCTAAAATGGATGCGATGGCGGAACAATTTCAGAACAGAGGAATGTCGCGAACACATCAACCACGTCATACGAGAACTTCGCGCAGTCCGATACATTCCAGAGGTAACTCGGTTCACTCACATGTTCATAATGTTCGACGTAATGATGAACATATTAGAGTACATGGTAGAAAGGTAGATTTACCTTTATTCAATGGCGAAGGAGCCTACAATTGGATTATATGCATGGAGAGGTACTTTCGCTTAAATCATATTGAAGAGGAAGAAAAAGTGGAAGCATTCATGATTGCGATGGAGGATAGGGCACTGAATTGGTTTCATCTGTGGGAGAATCAAACTGAGGAAACAAGTTGGGATACCTTGAAGACATCTGTCATTCGCAGGTTTCAACTGGAACTGATTCAAAATCCATATGATCCAATGTTGAGTCTGAAGCAAACTGGAAGTGTGCAAGATTATAGAGAAGAATTTGAAATGGTGATAGCTCCGCAGTTGCATATGGATAGGGAATTGTTGCGAGGAGTTTTCATTACAGGTTTGAAGGATGAAATCAAATCTGAGTTGAAGTTATATGCATCCAAGTCTTTAACTGAGATCATGGATAAAGCTATACTCATTGAACAAAAGATTGAAACTCAATCTTTGAAATGGAAGGACAAGGACAAGATTCCAGGGAGAGAAAGAGGTTCTATACCAGTTAAATCTCAGAGTTGGGGAGAAAATTACAAAATTAAATCTGGTTACACTTAGGACTGGAATTTTTAACCGAAAAACCGAAAACCAAACCGAAAAAACCCGAACCGAGCGGGAAAAAAACCGAACCGAAACCGAACCGACTTGATTGGGACCCGAAAGTTGGGACCCGAATAAAAATCGGTTCGGAACCGGCTCTTTGATATTGAAAATCGGTTCAAACCGAACCGATTTATTTATTAAATAATAGTTTTAAATTATTTTATTTAATTTCTTTAACTAATGTATGTAATACATTTGGCATCCCGATTTGCCAATAATCCGGAGTAGCTCAGCGGTGAGAGGTAACACGCTCCCTTCGTGTCACGCGTGTTCGAATCCCCCCAAGGACAGATTACCTTAAACTTATTTTGCTTTTCTTCCGCCCCAATTCTTCCAATTTGATTTTCTTCAGCCTACAACTCGTCCCACACCGGATGAAATAGAGGATTAACTCCTCATTTGAGCCTATATAATCGCTCCTTCATAGCTGATAAGGACTAAGTTGCTAGTAAAGCTTGAGTGCGAGTATTAGCTACAATATAAACAAATATTGAATACCCATTCGGTTTTTTCACAAAAACCGAAAAATCGGACCGAAAATTCGGTTTCCGAAAAATTGGGTCCCAACTTAGATCGGTTCGGTTTCGGGTTATAGAATATACGAAACCGAAAGATCGGTTCGGTTCGGATATTTCCTATTTCGGTTCGGTTCTCCAGCCCTAGTTACACTTGGCCATCTCAGAATAGAATTGTAGCAGAAAGTAAGAATAACAATTCTGGAATTGACAAGGCTGGCAAGAAGATTACTGATTCTTATCCAACTGGAATCAGAAGAACAGGACCTAAGTTATCTCAAGAGGAATTTCAGGAAAGTAGAAAGGAGCTATGCTTTAAGTGTGGTGAAAAGTGGAACAAGGAACATACTTGTAAATTGAAGAATTACAAGTTAATGTTAATTGAAGATTCAGTTGAGGAAGAACATTCAGAGGAGAATGAGCTAATAGTTCCAGAAAATATCTTTGAAGAAGCAATGGAATCTAAATCTATGCAGTTATCTCTGATGAGCACAGAAGGGATTCCAACCATGAGGGCTTTCAAAGTAAGGGAAAGGCAGGAGATCAACAGGTAGGGGTGCTAATTGATAGTGGAGCCACACACAACTTTATTTCACAGAAGTTGGTAGAGCAATGGCAACTACCTTTTCAGACCATTTCTGGCTATAAGGTACAAATTGGTAATGGGGAGCAAATATCCAATAATAAGAAGTGTCCACAGATGAAGTTGAGCTTACAAGGTGCTGAGATTGTACAAGATTTTTATATACTTAAATTGGGAGGCACAGATATGGTATTGGGTATGGATTGGTTGACCAGCTTGGGGGATGTAGAAATAAATTTTCAGAAACAGACTATTAAATGGAAACAGTGGGAGCAGGATGTGTTCATACAAGGAGATCCTAAGCTGAATTCCATGGAAGTATCATTGAAAACTAAAAGAATAAAATAGGCGGAATTAATTTTCTTCTCATTTACCGAACTTAAATAGGTACAGAGAGAATCCTGGAAATCCTGGGAATTAATTGATTCCCTAGAATAAAAGGATCTACAATATCAAAAAGATAATCTACCTTAAATACAATTCTAATCAAGGCAAGAGATAATTCTACAATTCTACAATTAATTACAATTACTATGCGCCTAAAATAGATGATTCTGTCCAATAACCTAAAATAGATTATTCTGTCCAACACTCCCACTCAAGCTGGGGCAAAAATGTCAATCATGCCCAGCTTGACTAGAAAATCTTCAAATGTTTGTTTGTATAGCCCTTTGGTCAGAATGTCTGCGAGTTGCTCTGATGTGGGAACGTAAGGTATACAAATTTCTCCTCCTTCTAGCTTTTCTTTGATGAAGAAACGATCAACTTCCACATGTTTGGTCCTGTCATGTTGGACAGGATTGTGAGCAATACTGATGGCTGACTTATTGTCACAAAACAACTTCATTGGCATTTCTGTCTTCACCTTCAGTTCATTGAGAATGCTCCTTAGCCAAATAGCTTCACAGATTCCGTGTGCCATTGCTCTATACTCGGCTTCTGCACTACTTCTTGACACCACATGTTGTTTTTTACTTCTCCAGGTTACTAAATTTCCCCAAACGAATGAACAATAGGCTGATGTAGATCTCCTATCGTTCGCAGCTCCTGCATAATCTGCGTCTGTGAAGACCTCAATTTTCCTACTATGATTTTTTTTTAATAGAATACCCTTGCCGGGACTTCCCTTGAGAGAGTGTAGGATTCTGTAGACAGCTTTCAGATGTTCTTCAGCCGGATTATGCATAAATTGACTGACTAAACTCACTGCAAAGGCTATATCAGGTCGTGTGTGAGCTAGATAGATGAGTTTTCCCACTAACTTTTGATATCGAGCCTTATCAACAGCAGCTCCACCCTCGGACCTTCCTAACTTATGGTTAGGGTCAATAGGAGTGGAAGCAGGTTTACATCCAAGAAGTCCTGTTTCCTTGAGTAAATCGAGCACATACTTTCGTTGAGACAGAGCAATTCCCTTCTTTGATCTAGCTACTTCCATCCCGAGAAAGAACTTGAGGTTTCCCAAATCTTTAATTTCAAATTGCCTAGCTAGAAATAGCTTCAGTTTCTCCAGTCCTTCTTCATCATCTCCTGTCATTATAATATCATCTACATACACAATTAAGATAGCAATTTTCCCTTCGACCGTGTGTTTGTAGAACAATGTATGATCAGCGTGAGCTTGACGAAATCCTTTTTCCTTTACAGCCCTTGTAAACCTTTCGAACCAAGCGCGATGTGACTTTTTCAAGCCGTATAAAGATTTCTTCAGTCGACATACCTTTCCTGCCACACTTTCATCATCAAACCCCGGAGGTACTTACATAAAAACTTCTTCTAACTCTCCATTAAGGAAGGCATTCTTCACATCAAACTGTAGAAGAGGCCAGTCGAGGTTAACAGCAAGTGACAACAACACTCTTACTGTGTTGAGTTTAGCAACCGGGGCAAATGTCTCCTCATAGTCTAGACCGTAGGTTTGAGTGAATCCTCTAGCTACGAGTCTAGCTTTGTACCTCTCTATTGATCCATCCGAATTATACTTGATCGTGAACACCCATTTGCTGCCTACAAGATGCTTTCCTTTTGGCAGATTTGTTAACTCCCACGTTTCATTTTTTTTTAAAGCTCGCATTTCTTCTAGGACAGCTTCTCTCCACTTTGGAATGCTTAGTGCTTCTTGTATCGTCCTCGAAAATTCATCATCGGTTATGCTAGTGGTAAAGGCCCTAAAGGTAGGAGATAATTGGTGATATGACACATAACGGTTTATAGGATGTTTGGTGCACTCACGAACTCCTTTCCTAAGTGCTATAGGTTCATTAAGGCTCGGATCAAGAGGTGAATTATGGTCATGGGAATCAGTCTCAGTCTCAAGAATAGGATCAAGGAAATGTGGAAAAAAAGTTGAGGGAATGATGTTACCCGGAACAATACTTTGGTCAGACGGTAGGTCGGCTTGAGTACCTCGGCTTGAGTTGGTACTGAATCAGTACCTTGCTTCATTTTTCTTCTCGAGTAAACACGTAGTTCAGATGTGGGATCCACATTATTTATTATTTCATATCCTTTGTGAGGTGTAGAAATAATAGGTATGACAGGTTCAACATCAGCTGCCCAACTTATTATGCAACCTTGTGTCAGTCAGTAAACTTGCTCACGATTCTGATTGTGTTGTAAAATTCGTGTCAAATGGTTGTGTGTCAGTCAATAAAGTGAGAATAATCTATTTTAGGTTATTGGACAGAATCATCTATTTTAGGCGCATAGTAATTGTAATTAATTGTAGAATTGTAGAATTATCTCTTGCCTTGATTAGAATTGTATTTAAGGTAGATTATCTTTTTGATATTGTAGATCCTTTTATTCTAGGGAATCAATTAATTCCCAGGATTTCCAGGATTCTCTCTGTACCTATTTAAGTTCGGTAAATGAGAAGAAAATTAATTCCGCCTATTTTCTTCTTTTATGGTATCAGAGCCGTATCGCCAACTTCCATGGCAGGCCTGAACTCGAGCGATATCAGCACCAGCTCAACTGGTGACTCCGCCCGAACCAAACCCTGTATCGCTTTTGATTCTATGCAGAATCTGGCGATTACCACCATCAAACTAAATGGAAGTAATTTCCTCCCGTGGTCACAGTCAGTCAAGCTTTTCGTCCAAGGAAAAGGCAAATTTGGCTACCTCTCAGGAACAACAGTTCAGCCACGCCCCAAAGATGATGGATATGAACGATGGGAGGCCGAGAATTCCATGATTATGTCATGGTTGGTGAACTCGATGGAACCAGAAATTGGGATGCCCTAAAGGAAAACTACTCAGATTTGGGGAATGCTGGGCAATTATTTGAGATCAAGACACAATTGGGAAAGGCGAAACAAGGGGAGAAGAGTGTAACTCAGTACTACACTGATATCATGACTCTTTGGCAAGAGTATGATCTATTTTGTGATTATAAATGGCACTGCCCGAAAGATGCTGCCCTCTATCGGAAAATTGTTGAAAAAGAAAGAGTTTTCGACGTCCTTGCTGGTCTGAACAAAGAACTTGATGAAGTTCGAGGGAGACTCCTTGGCCGAGACCCACTGCCAAGTGCACAAGAGGTGTTTGTTGAGGTTCGTCGCGAAGAGAGTCGTCGACATGTGATGCTCAGAGATGAATCCACCTCTTTACCCATTGAAACATCTGCACTGATGATCTCAAAACCAAATTTCAAGTCTCCACATCCTTTGCAGCAGTCTAATAAGAATCAAGAACGGCCAGTGTGTGATTTTTGTAACAAAATCGGGCACATCAAGGCAAAGTGCTGGAAGATTCACGGCAAGCCAGCTGAGTTCACCCCTTCCAACCGAGTTTCACGCAATACCAAAGGAGGCTTCCTCGCTGCATCTGGAGATCAAGCAAACACATCAAACGACACCTTCTCCTTCACCAAGGATAGCCTAGAACAATTGTTTTAGTCCTGGAATACTCATCGGTCTGCTAATACCAACATCAATACTCCATATACATCAGTTTCAAATACCCCAACCTCAAATATCTCAGCCCATCCTTCATCATCTCTGGCGCAAAAAGGTATCTTAGCAGCTGCCCTTAGTGTAAGTTTAGAAAAATCCAACCCTTGGATCATTGATTCAGGGGCTACTGATCACATGACTGGGTCTTCCTACATGTTTTCTAATTACTTTCCTTGTTCGGGTAATCAAAAGGTAAAAACCGCAGATGGTTCCCTATCCGCAATTGCTGGAAAAAGTTCTATCATTATATCTCCGTTTATTACCTTAAACAATGTCCTACATCTGTCCAACAAAAACCTTTTCTCAAATATTGAATGATAATGGAGATGGTTACTTCTTATATTGTGAAAGGAAGACCATAGAAATGGAGAATGAGGGAGGACTGGAAACCATTTGGGAGAAGATTTTTGAAGAATTTCTAGAAATTTCAAAATCTAGAGATGGTTTACCTCCTAGAAGAGACTATGATCACTCAATAAATATTCAGGAGGGGGCTAAAATACCTAATATCAGACATTCAGACCTTACAGGTACCCTCAGTACCAGAAGACTGAGATTGAGAAGATTGTGAAGGAGATGTTGGATTCTGGGATCATCCAGAATAGCAATAGCCCATACAGCACTCCCATACTCCTAGCCAAGAAGAAAGATGGTGGCTGGAGGTTCTGTGGAGATTACAGAGCCTTAAACAAAATCACAACTCCTGATAAATATCCAATTCCAGTCACTGAAGAGTTACTTGATGAGCTTGGGGAGGCAACTATATTTTCTAAACTGGATCTCAAATCTGGCTACCACCAAATACGGATGAAAGAAGAAGATAGGAAGAAGGCAACTTTCAGGACACATGAGGGCCATTATGAGTATTTGGTGATGCCTTTTGGCTTAACTAATGCTCCCTCTACCTTCCAAGCTTTGATGAACCAAGTACTAAGGCCTTATTTGAGGAAGTGTGCCTTAGTATTTTTTGATGATATCGTGGTATATAGTAGAACTAAGGAGGATCACATAGAGCATTTAAGAGCAGTCCTCTCTGCTTTGAGGGATAATCAGTTGGTGATTAACCTAAAGAAATGCCCTTTTGGACAACCTCAACTGGTCTACTTAGGGCATATTATTTTTGGAGAAGGAATAACAGCTGATCCTACCAAGATTGAAGCCATGGTTACTAGGCCAGCACCTCAGAATTTGAAAGAGTTAAGAGGGTTTCTGGGGTTAACTGGCTATTACAGAAGACTTGTAAGGGGGTATAGCAAGATTGCAACACCCCTTACACAACTCCTAAAGAAAGACAGTTTTCAATGGGGAGAACAAGCTACACTAGCTTTTGAGGAGTTGAAAAAAACCATGTGATAGGGACCCGAGCTGATTAGAGTTAATAATAGTAATAGAATAATGTCAAATAAATTGTTAGTGGAAAAGTGAGGGTTTGGGCCTTGTACTCAGAAGCTTGGGCCGGCTCTTAAGGATAGAAATATTATAAAAAGGGGGAAGGAGGGCAGGAGAGGAGGCAGGCAGAAATTGGAATTAGGTTTGGGACTTGGGAGAGGGGACTGCTCGAAGTGTCTCGTTCTGATTTCTTCTCTTTCTTTCTGTTATTTCCGGTTCAGTTGTAATCGACCAGACTTTCATATTCAATAAATTGTAAATTTCTGCTGCTTTTGTTGAGGTATCTAACACCATGACATCACTTCCAGTCCTAGTTACACCTAACTTTAATAAGACATTCATTTTAGAGACTGATGCTTCTGGAACTGGTTTGGGTGCAGTTCTCATGTAGGAAGGCAGACCAGTGGCTTTTATGAGTAAAGTATTATCCAAAAGAAACCAAAACAGATCAGTATATGAACGAGAGCTCATGGCCATTGTACTGGCAGTACAGAAGTGGAGACCCTATTTGTTGGGAAGGACTTTTGAGATTGTAACTGATCAAAAGAGTCTAAAATTCCTGACAGAGCAGAGACTGATGGGAGAAGAGCAACAGAAGTGGACTTCTAAGTTGTTGGGATATAACTTCATCATAAGGTATAGACCTGGGATAGAAAACAGGGCTGCTGATGCGCTATCTAGAAGACCTATGCTCCAGTCTCTTTCAATTGTGACATGTCAAGAATGGGAAGGTTTGGAGGAAGAATTGAAATCTGACATCAAGTGTGCAGAGTTAATTCAGAAAGTGATTTCTTATCCAGATCAGTACTCAGAATTTCATATTATCAAAGGCTTGTTGTATTATAACAAGAGATTGGTTCTACCACAAGGATCACCCATAATCACCAAGATCATGAAGGAAAATCATGAATCTGCAATTGGAGGGCATTCAGGGTATTTTAGAACAATGAAGAGAGTATCCAGTCTTTTCTTTTGACAGGGTATGAGGAAGGATATCAAGAAATGGGTGGAAGAATGTGTGGTTTGCCAGACTAATAAATATCAAGCTTTAAAACCTGCACGACTACTACAACCACTCCCTATTCCGAATAGCATTTGGACAGACATTAGCATGGACTTCATTGGAGGCTTACCCAAATCACAAGGAAAGGATATTATTTTGGTCATTGTGGATAGATTGACTAAATATGCTCACTTCATTGCTTTATCACATCCCTACAATGTTGTAGATTATTACGGATAATTACTCATCCGATTTAGCATTTATGAGGAGATATCTTAGAGATCTCATAATCTCTAAATATCCCCAATTATCTTGTCTTTATTAGGGAATCTTAATTAGGAGGATTCCTTCCTTCTTCCACTTTTCTCTAGCTATATATATTCTGTATTTATCTCATTGTATTACACAGAATAAGAGAAATAAAATACATTTTACTTTCTCAAGTTATTTCTACATGGTATCAGAGCGTGGTTATTCTCTAAATAAAATGATTAAGTTCGGATCCTATGGGATGACCACCGAGAGAGATGGATCTATCCCAGTCACCTCTGAACATTCAGAGGTTGTCCCAACTGGAGATGGCAACAACCAGAATATCAATGGAAGCACAGTCACCACTCCTAATCAGTCAGATTCGATTATTACTTGCCATAAACTGAATGGTAGTAATTATCTACAATGGTCTCAGTCCGTTATGATGTATGTGTGTGGAAAAGACAAGGAGGACTATTTGACAGGTGATGCACCTGCTCCAGATCAAGGAGATCCAGGCTACAAGAAGTGGAAAAAGGAGAATTATACTGTGATGTCATGGCTCATCAATTCCATGACAACCAGTATAGGAGAAAATTTCCTACTATACAAAACAGCTCAAGAGATCTGGGAGGCTGTGAAAGAAACATACTCAACTTCAGATAACACTTCTGAATTATTTGAGGTTGAATCAATGCTACATAACCTTCAGCAGGGAGAATTGAGTGTAACTCAATACTTCAACAACCTTGTGAGACTCTGGCAGCATCTTGATGTGTTTGAGACATACAATTGGTCATGTTCTAAGGATAAGAAGTTATATCAGGAGATCTGTGAAAGGAAGAGAGTCTTCAAATTCCTGTCAGGATTAGACAAGAGTCTAGATGAGGTTAGGGGCAGAATAATGGGAAAGAAACTCACCCTTAGAGAAGCCTTCTCAGAAGTCAGAAGAGAAGAAAGCAGAAGGAAGGTAATGATGGGTCTGAAATCTCAAGGCCAACAACAAAATATTGAAGGGTCATACCAAAAAAGGGAGAAAGTAAGAAACCAGGCCATACCAAAGAAACATGCTGGAATTTGCATGGTAAACCTAAAGATTTCAAACCAAGCAAAGGGAAAGGAGCCTATGTAGCTACTGGAGATAAAGAAGATATGGGCACTTCTAATCTTGCTGCATTTACCAATGAGCAGATTGAGGTTCTTCAACATCTAATAAGTCAGAGCAAGGGGCCTGCACCATCAACTAGCCTTACTGCTCAGACAGGTAATGCCCTAACAACCCTAGTTGCACACAATCAGCCCTATTGGATTGTTGATTCAGGGGCATCAGATCACATGACTGGAGAAAGTAAGTTTTTTGCTGAATTGATCCCTATGAAGAATAAGGTAACTGTGAAGATTGCTGATGGAACTACTTCAGCAATAAAAGGGACTGGAAGAGTCAAAATTTCTGATAAGATAGTGCTTAACAATGTGTTATATGTTCCAGATTTAAAGTTTAACCTCTTATCAGTCAGTAAACTGAATAGTGATACACATTGCCTAACTAAATTCTCTTCACAATTGTGTGAATTTCAGGATTTGGATTCGGGGAGGATGATTGGCAGTGCTAAGCAAAGTGGTGGACTCTATCTTCTGGAACATTCACCACATTCACCCAACTCCACCAACAAGACAACTTCCAGTGAGAGTCAATTCAACCATAAGTTCTTAGGGAGTCTTAGTAGGAGTCAATTTGATACTCAAATTCAGTTATGGCATTATCGTCTTGGTCATCCTAATGTCTTGTACTTAGAAAAAATATTTCCTTCATTATTCATAAATAAAAGTTCTGCCTTTGATTGTGAATTTCGTCAACTTGCTAAACATACTAAAAGTCACTATCCCAGTCTACCTTACAAACCATCTAAACCTTTTTCTCTCATCCAAAGTGATGTTTGGGGCCCATCTAAGGTCAAAAATCTCACTGGCTCAAGGTGGTTTGTTCTGTTTATTGATGATCATACACGTCTATCCTGGGTCTTCCTCATGAAAGATAAGTCAGAAGTCAATATTATCTTTCAAAAATTCTATTCTATGATCAAAACTCAGTTTCAAACCAAGATTCAGGTTTTTAAAACTGATAATGCCAAAGAATATTTCTCATCCAATTTAGGAGAGTTTCTGTCAAAAAGGGGGATTATACACATTAGCTCCTGTGTTGACACCCCACAACAGAATGGGGTGGCAGAAAGGAAGAATAGACACTTACTGGAAGTTGCTAGAGCCCTTATGTTCACCACTCACACTCCTAAACACTACTGGGGAGAGGCTGTCCTAACTGCAGCTTACCTGATAAATAGGATGCCCTCCAAAACTCACAATTTTAAAACACCATACCAAATCCTATCTTATCTACATCCTCACATCCCTATTACCAATCTTCCACCAAAGGTCTTTGGTTGCAAAGCATTTGTTCACAACCATTCTCCAGTTAGGTCAAAACTGGATCCTAAATCCTTACCTTGTATATTCATAGGATATGCTGCCAACCAGAAAGGATACAAATGTTATTCTCCTGCCAACAAAAAGGTCTACATCACAATGGATGTAACCTTTTTTGAAAATCAGCCTTTCTATTCCAAAACTGAATTTCAGGGGGAGAACCACAATGAAATCCAGTCTTTGAATCCTATTTCAGACACTATTCCAGACCTCCAAGAATCTGAATCTAACCACACTGAATCCATACTCCCAGACAGACCTGAATCAAACCCTCCAGACAATACAGTCTCTCCACCAACCACACCATTTCAGCCACCAACTTTATCACCCCAATCATTACCCCAAAATCCTACACTAAATCAAAATTCCCCATTCTACAAGAATACCTATAAGCGGAAACCTAGAACCAGAGTTCCAGAAGAAGAGCACATCACTCCAATTAACACCACACAATCATCTGACTCAAATTTGAGTCCTGATGACAAAGAGGTTGAGGCTATAGAAGGAGATGATGAGGAACCAGACTTGCCTATTGCTATCAGAAAGGGAGTAAGGGAGTGTACCAAGCATCCTATCTATAATTTTGTTTGTTATAAGAAACTATCAGCAAACTATCAAACTTTTATTTCAAAGATTGATAGTATTCAGGTTCCTAACAACATCAAGGAAGCCCTTGAACATCCAGGGTGGAGGAAGGCTGTCCATGATGAATTAGCAGCATTGAAGAAGAATGGAACTTGGGTGCTTACAGATTTGCCAGCAGGGAAGAGAACTGTTGGCTGCAAGTGGGTATTTACAATTAAATATCAGGCTGATGGAAAGATTGAAAGGCTGAAGGCAAGTCTTGTTGCTAAGGGGTTCACCCAAGCTTATGGCATTGATTATTCAGAGACATTTGCACCAGTGGCAAAGTTGAACACCATTAGAGTGCTGTTATCACTCGCAGTGAACCTAGACTAGCCATTACATCAACTAGATGTTAAGAATGCCTTTCTTAATGGAGACCTAGAAGAGGAAGTATTCATGGATGTACCACCTGGATTAGAAGACTTGGGGAAATCTGGTCAGGTTTGCAGATTGAAAAAGTCCTTGTATGGACTAAAGCAGTCTCCTAGAACATGGTTTGATAGGTTCACAAGATCAGTTTTTAAACAAGGGTTCATGCAATGTCAGGCAGACCATACACTGTTTGTAAAGAGAGCAGACTCTGGAAAATTGGCTATTCTTATAGTATATGTTGATGATATTATTATGACTTGGGATTATAAGGCTGAATTGGACAGATTGAAGGCTCATCTAGCAAGAGAATTTGAGATCAAGGAGCTAGGCGAGTTGAAGTACTTCCTGGGAATGGAAGTGGCAAGATCTAAGAAGGGCATTTTCATTTCACAAAGGAAATATGTTCTAGACTTGCTAAGTGAAACTGGAATGCTTGGGTGCAAGCCTATGGACACTCCTATGGATATATCAAAGAAGTTAGGCAGTGAGACTGAAAGTCCACCAGTTGATAAGGGTAGATATCAAAGGCTGGTAGGGAAGCTAATCTACCTATCTCACACACGGCCAGACATTGCTTTATGGTAAGTCAATTCATGAATGACCCAACCGAGGAACACCTAACTGCAGTGTATAGAATTCTGAGGTACCTAAAAATGACTCCTGGAAAAGGATTGTTGTTTCAGAAACAAGGGACAAGGAAGATTGAAGTGTTTACAGATGCTGACTGGGCTGGAAGCCTCTTAGACAGAAGGTCAACTACTGGTTAATGTACCTATGTATGGGGTAATTTAGTCACCTGGAGGAGCAAGAAACAATCAGTGGTTTCTAGAAGTAGTGCGGAATCTGAGCTCAGAGCTTTAACACAAGGAATCTGTGAAGGATTGTGGTTAAGAAGATTGATGAATGAGCTCAAACTCCCATTTGAAAGCTCCATCCAGATCTCATGTGACAACCAGTCTACTATCAGTATTGCTAAAAATCCTGTTTATCATGACAGGACCAAACACATTGATATAGACAGAAGGTTCTTATCAAAGAAGATTGCAGCAAAGGATATCCAGCTGAACTATGTTCCAACCAGACGGCAAATAGCGGATATACTCACCAAGGCACTTCCCAGGATTCAGTTTGAAGACTTATCTAGCAAGCTGTGCATGGATGATATCCATCACCCAGCTTGAGGGGGAGTGTAGATTATTACGGATAATTACTCATCCGATTTAGCATTTATGAGGAGATATCTTAGAGATCTCAGAATCTCTAAATATCCCCAATTATCTTGTCTTTATTAGGGAATCTTAATTAGGAGGATTCCTTCCTTCTTCCACTTTTCTCTAGCTATATATATTCTGTATTCATCTCATTGTATTACACAGAATAAGAGAAATAAAATACATTTTACTTTCTCAAGTTATTTTTACAAATGCTAAGGAGGTGGCTGATGTGTTCATTAAAGAAGTGGTCAGACTACATTGGTTTCCTAAAACCATAGTTAGTGACAGAGATAGTGTCTTCCTCCGTGCTTTTTGGTTAACAGATGCTTGGAAACTTATCTCAGGTGTTTGACTGGAAGAAAACCTAAGAAATGGCTTAACTGGTTGCATTGGACTGAGTATTGGTACAATACCAATTATCATGATGCACTGAAAATCACTCCTTACAAGGCCTTGTTTGGACAAGACCCTCCTGCAGTAATAAGGGGAGATGTTACACTTACGGCTGTGGAAGAAGTATCCAAGTTGACTGCTCAGAGGAAAGGAACATTATACTGGAGGAGTTGAGAGGAAAGGAACATTATACTGGAGGAGTTGAAAGAGAATCTGGCTAGGGCTCAGAATCAGATAAGGCAGCAAGCCAAAAAGCAAGCCAATAAGCACAGGGGAGAAGTTACATTGGAGATAGGGGATCAAGTTTATTTGACGATCCAACCTTATAAGCTAAGGAGTTTAGCTAAAAGGATAAACCAGAAGTTAAGCCCAAGATTCTATGATCCATTTGAGATAATTGATAAGCTCAGTTCTGTGGCCTTTAAGCTGAAGTTGCCAGAAGATAGCAAAATTCATATCGTATTTCATATCTCTTTGCTAAAAAGGCTATCTCATCTGCTACCTACTATCAACCTTTACCAAAGTGTCTGAGTGAAGAATTGGAGTTGCAGGTGGTGCCAGAAGAAATCTTAGACACAAGGGTTGATGCAGAAGGTAATCTGGAGATATTGGTTCACTGGAGTAATCTGCCACATTTTGAGGATTCTTGGGAGTCCATGAGAAATGAGAATGATCAAAGAACAATTTCCAGAGCTTCACCTCGAGGACAAGGTGAATTTCCAGGGAGGGGGTATTGTTAGACAGGCAGCAAGGCAGCCTGTAGAATTTTATAATAGTGTATAAAAGGAGAAGTAATAAGACTGTTGCTAATAACTAATAACTAACGGATTGGTTAGTTAGTTAGTCTGGTGTCCCTGCGTGGATCTTTACTATAAATAGAGGTGTTCAGCTAGCAGAAGTAGGTTGGAATTTGGCTAGAACAGGACTGGGAGAGTGGACATCTCGAATTGTCTAAAATTTGTATACTTTGATTGGGTGAATAAAGTATGTGTTCTATATTGTGTGATCTGTGATCTATCAAATGGAGCCAAAGATTCATTATTTTTTGGCTTGAGATTATGATGGAATAAAGCAAAATGGCTCACTAAACTGTCTGCGCTTCTTTGTTATGGAGCAGCAGTCAGTCCATGCAATTTTGGACGTGATTTTCACTATGGGTCATCCGGAAACAGTCTCTCTGTGCTTTAGTGCAGAGGTAAGACTGCGTACATCCGACCCCCCCTTACCCCACCATAGGTGGGAGCCTTTGCGGCACTGGGGTAAATGAAAATGAAATGATGCCAGATTGGAGTTCATCTGCCCAAAGCTGAGCATCGACCACTGGAGTTGTTTGTTGGTGCGCAAAGAACCGCTCACAGCATTTCAACCAACACCGAGGGTCACCTGTGCCGTCAAAGGGTGGAAATTCAAGTTCGGAATAGCGAGGAACGATACTGGAATCACCACTGTTGCAATTCTGGTTGTCATGGAGCAAGCACGAACTGCTCTGACAGCTGGTGTCATCGTTGAAGCTTCTAGATCTGCTACTCAATGTTGTGAGTTGTGCATAAACTTTTGAAGGTTTCAGATTAAGAGTGTCGTTGCCCATCGTTCTGGATGTTGCTATACCCAATTGTTAAGGGCCTTGGTACAGCATCTCGTCCAAGGCTGTTGATGATGAAAGGCAGAATCTGAAGCTTATGATGTTGGAATAAAATAAACTTAACTTCCAGCCCGGGCAAGGAAGGTGATCCCTGGCTCCACCAGCAAATCAAGAAATTATTTATTCCCAACTTGATACTTCATTGAAACTGATAAGCCTTAGGCAGAAATGAGGTTCATAAACAATACTAGGATATAGATCTAAATTCTGACAGACTCATTAATAAGAGACTGTCTAAAATAAGGAAGGCTAGATAAATGGAAATAACTCAAGTAAGGAAAGCATAGAAAAGGAACAACTAAAATAACTAAAGGGAAATAATCAGGACAGCTTGTGGTCAATTAACTAGGCACCTTTTATGTGCCTCTAGTACACACGACCAAAACAACATGTATCACATACTAGTGGTTATTTTATGTATCAAAACCTGCAACTACTCAACAAACTAATTAGTTTCATTATTTCCATCATTTGCAATGGAGCCAAAGATTCATTATTTTTTGGCTTGAGATTATGATGGAATAAAGCAGAATGGCTCACTAAACTGTCTGCGCTTCTTTGTTATGGAGCAGCAGTCAGTCCATGCAATCTTGGACACGATTTTCACTATGGGTCATCCGGAAACAGTCTCTCTGTGCTTTAGTACAGGGGTAAGACTGCGTACATCCAACCCCCCTTACCCCACCGTAGGTGGGAGCCTTTGCGGCACTGGGGTAAATGAAAATGAAAATGATTTCTAAACATCAAAACTCATCATTAGCCCATGTCAGCTAACACTCCCTCATGGAGAGATAGATGTAGGAGAGAAATGCATTCCTTCTCAATCTCTACCCTATTTCTTCTCCATTTCTTTCTTGCCAAACAACTCAATTCATCTACACATTTATCTACTATTCATCTCTTTTTTTAATCTTTTTCTCACCCATTCATCTTTCACTATTTCTTTCTCACTACTTCACTGCTTCCTTATAAATACATAGGCTGTAAATAGAGTGTGCTATTAGACCTTTTGAACTGTTTCGGCCAAATGATGTTTCATAACAAGACAAGCCTCAAATGGAAATTGATTTATGTACTGTTGATCATTTAGTCCGGCAGCCTTCTTCACCTCCTCATCTACCTGCATACTCGTCCATATAATATGTGCATCCTTTGCATCAGATGCTGCAAGCAAATCAACATAGAACGTAATTGTTAGTGAATTTGATTGTCTACTGGGACTTTGAATGTAGTGTAGTATACAAAAAAAAGGATGACATTCCATCCCCGAGGGCTCCAGAACTGACCAGACATTTATCTGGGAGGATGTAAGTTGAGCTTTGATCACACTCTGATGGAAAGAGAGTGAGGTTTCATCCCAAGTCATTGCTTGGAGTTGAACCCGAGACCTCTCCCTTGTGGCATCCTCTTCCTACCAGGTGAGATATGCCCCTTAGTAATATATAAGTACAAAGTGTCGTCGCTTGAGGAACCTTTTGTGGTTAATTATGCCCATTCCAACACCTACTACCAGTGTTCACTTAATGTCCTTTTATCACCATCAATTGACTCTTACATTTTTTACGCAGCAGACCTCACTTGAAGAGTGATTTTGAAAAATGAGTTACATTTTACTTGTCATCGCTCGAAAGAGACGTGTATCCTGTTGGGGTGTAGGCTTCGGCCCACTTGGGAGCTAAATAAACAAGAAGCAGCAGCCGGCCCTAGCTACATGTGCAGCCAGCCCTAGTTGGGCCTGTTTTTTTGTGGCAGTCAGGCCCAGAGTTTAATTAATAGTTTACCCTAATTGTTTGCCTATATATTGACTCCAGTACTTGTAAACAACTGACTGTATTGTTTCATCACCTCAATAAGAAAGAAAACCCTTGCCCCCGTGGATTAGGTCAGTAACATTTATTGGTTGAACCACGTTAAGTTCTTGTGCCGTTCTTCTCGTTTTCTTTCTTTCTACTATTTTTTTTCAGATTTGTGTGTGTGAGCGCTAGAGATTCTAACCCTAACAACTGATATCAGAGCCAGGTTCATTTGGTTACGCCTTAGCAGAAACCCTAACTACAAAAACCCTAGCTGTCCAGCCCAGAAGCTGCACCTGCGCCGACCGCCGCGAAACTGTTGTTCAGTGATGGCAGAAGATGGTAAGGTCAGAATAGACAAGTTTGAGGGCCATGATTTCAGTTTCTGGAAGATGCAAATCGAGGTCTACATATACCAGAAGAAGCTACATGAACCCTTGTCTGGTATTAAGCCTAGAGAGATGCCTCAAGCCGAATTGGATTTGCTTGACCGTCAAGCATTGGGTGTGGCATATCAGCACTATGTGCGTGTAAGAAACAAAATGGGTTGGAGAGAAGGCACAATAAATTAATCCTCAAGATTTTAAGTTGTGGCATACAAAGAGAGAGGACCAGAAATGGAGTAACATTACTGTGGCGTGTGATTATGTTGGTAATGTGGTGGAAGTCTATAGGAAGAATGATCGCATTATGAGCATTAAATTGGTAATAGGGGATGAAATCATGTCTGTAAGTGTCTATGCAACACAAGTGGGGTGGGATGCATCCATTACTCAACAATTCTGGGAAGATCTTGAGGAAGTAATGTGATGAGTGCCAAGGAGAGAGAAATTAGTCATAGGAGTCAACCTGAACGGGCATGGGCTTGGGTCACGATGCTTTTGAGAGCATTCATGTTGGACGTGGTTTTGACACCCGGAATGAAGCGGGAAAGAACATTCTGGATTTTACCCTAACGTATGACGGTATGAGTTGGCTATAATGAACATTTGGTTCAAGAAAAAAAGACTCACACCTTGTGACCTATAGGCGTGGAGCTAATAGTACCCAAATTAACTATTCCCTCCGTCCCGCTAAGATTGTCTCATCTTTCTTTTCCGATCTGCCCCACTAAGATTGTCTAATACCATATTTGGTAAATTTTGTGTGGTTCTAAATCATTCTTACTTTATTCTTTATCAATTCAATATCAACCACATGAACCCACTTTTCTTAATATCCGCACAACCTCCCCATGTCCCAGTGTTAGTGGAACGAAGGTTGCATTTCTTAGTAAGGGACTTACTTCTACTCAACATAGGATGTTTGTGCTTGATTTCTGTTACATGGGCTCCATAAATCAAAAGGGTGGTGAACTAGATGGAGATACATCTCATAGAATCAGAACATGGTGGATGAAATGAAAGAATGTGTCAGGATTTATGTGTGATCGAGGTACCAACTAGACTGGAGGGTAAGTTTTAACGGACAGTGATTAGGCCTAAATTACAATATGACATAGAGTGTTGGGCAATGAAACAATGTCATATTCAAAATATAATGTGGCTCTGTTGCGCATGTTGCGTTGGATGTGTGGACAATTGGACATACTAGAAACGACCGCTCGAGAAATGAGACAATTAGGCAAAAGGTAGGAGTAGCACCTATTGAAGATAAGATGTGAGAGTCTCAATTGAGGTGGTTTGGGCATGTGCGTAGAATATTAAGTGAAGAAGATGTTATACGAGTTGAGAGGTTGGGAGAAGAGTTGACGAGGAGAGGGAGAGGAGGACCCAAATAGACGTGAATTATAGGAATGAGGAATGATATGGTACTTCTTTGGTTGAATGAGAGTATGACTTTGGAGAGAACAAAGTGGGGGAGAATATACGTGTGGAGGATTGATCTCATTTTATCCTTTTATCGTTTTTTTCTTTTTTTCTTCCTTTTTCTCTTTTTTCTTTTTTTCTTTCATATCATCTTTATCTTTTTTTTTTCCATCATTTGCAATGGAGCCAAAATTCATTATTTTTTGGCTTGAGATTATGATGGAATAAAGCAAAATGGCTCACTAAACTGTCTGCGCTTCTTTGTTATGAAGCAGCAGTCAGTCCATGCAATTTTGGACACGATTTTCACTATGGGTCATCCGGAAACAGTCTCTCTGTGCTTTAGTACAAGGGTAAGACTGCGTACATCCGACCCCCCCTTACCCCACCGTAGGTGGGAGCCTTTGCGGCACTGGGGTAAATGAAAATGAAAATGATATCATCTTTATCTTTTTATCTTATCTTTATTTTACTTTTATCTTTTCTTTAGCTTTTTGTCTTATCTTATCTTTTTTAGCTCCAATTTCACATATCGTTTCATGTTAGCCGACACCAAATTTTTTTGGCACTAAGGCTTGAATGTTGTTGTATAAAAAGCGCGCAAAAAGCAAACTAAACTTATATTTTGGGACAGGTGGAGTATTACATATAAAAGAAGACATGTGCAACATGAAAGGGGGGTATGGCCAAGATAAGGAGTAATTCATACATGATTCAAAATGAAGGTAGGAAAGGAGAAGACATACTTATTACAAATTCAGGGCGGCTCAAGAATTCGTCCACGTGAGGTATATCTGTGTAAACACGCAAAGCAATTCCATTGGTACAGTACAAAGAACTTGTTAGAGGTGATGCCTGCAGTGGGGAAGTAAACGTGATTGATTGCAACCACTCCCGGCACCTCTCATATTCCTGAATATCATAAAAGCAGTGACTTTAGAGGTAGTGATCAATGTTCTGAATTCATCAAATAGTGTCATTACTGGCCAAGCTAAGAGACAGGAAAAGGGACCATACTTTAACAAAGTAATTACGTGGGGTGTGGAACCATGCTGTAAGTCTAGCCAAGCGTTGTTTGTCTTCTCCAATTCCAAGTAGGAAATCACGAGTGCACTCATTATTTTTTTGAATATCATCAATTGGCCAAAAAATTGAATAGCTGAAAACGGTCACTCAGCAGCTTATTAGAAATTACAAAGGGGGGCACCACAACATTTCTTCATGTATGGCATAATGGCAATTGAACCCATTACCCAAGTGAAAGAATCTCATTCACGGAATAAAAATAGAGTGCATATAGTGTTTGCATGATGGAAAGCTTTTCTTCATAACAATGAATTCCACATTTGTATACCAAAACTGTTTGTCCCTTTCCTTTTTTTTATTTACTAGACTAGATCATAGTTGCTGAGGAATGCTCAGAAGTTAAACTGTGCAAAAAAACTAACTGCTTAAATAGAAAATAGAGGTCCCAGACTTCCAAAGTATATGAAGAGAAAGAGTACAATTGTAAACACTCAATGTTGACACTTGTTATGGGTCCAATGTATAGCCACATCTCAATGAATTAAACAAAATAGAAGTGATAAAGTAGTTAACAGACAATTTGAGAAGAGAACCTCATAGCGGATTCCAATTCACCTCTTGGCATGTAGAGGAATGGAGACACTCTGAAATTCGGTTCATCACTGTGTCGTAGAGATGAACCTAATTCATCCATTACATACCTGTGCAGGAAAAAAACAAAAGTTTATCTGCATACAGGTTCCACTAGGATTACATGACTCAGAAAATAACGGGTTGTTCAGTTGACAGGAAGTAGTGTTGGAACTTGAAATGGAAATTACATTCTGTTGGCCATAATTTCGAAGGAATTAACTCAATTAAGCAGGTCAAAAAACTCCTATGTGTGTTTAATAGCAGCAAAAGCGAATATAAAGTACCATGTTCACTTAACTATGAAACTCAGTAGCAATGATTTCTATGATGACCCAAATGCCCTCACTATGAAACTCAGTAGGAATGATTTCTAATTTTATATGATAACCCAAATGCCCTCACTCATAAAGTATATAATTAGTCATCATCTAAAAATACATGTCATTGAATTATAAATTAGCTAAAAGAGTATTTAGTTTATTGTTCTTATGTATGTGATCGTAAAATTTGATCAACCTTTTTGCTGATATAATATTCTATGCACCACCAAATAACATGAACTTCTCATTGATTATATACGATGCTATCTTTTACAACACTGAGACAAAAAAATATTGTACATGAGTTTTCTGGATTAAAAAACATCAACATGAAAAGCAACAAACAGATATGAGCAAGGAAACCTGATATTATTATTCCTATGTATGCTATAGGCAGCTTCTGAATTAGCATTTATCCCCCTTTATAATATTCTTACTTTGATTTATGCAACTTCTTAATTAGCATTTACTTCTGTTTATAATTAGGAATCTTGTAATAGTTATATAAGAGTCATCAGTATTATTCAATAAACATCTTTGGAAGAATTAATTCTTGTGTGTCTTGGCAAGGTCGGGCACTGATTAATTCTAACTTAGCTTATTTTATTATTCCTCTCTCATATAGTCATATTCTCTATTTCCTAGATCCAAAATGAGATCCCAACCATACCCATAACAATTTGGTACCAGAGCCATCACGTTCCTACGCGATTCATCATATTTTGCACCTTTTCAGTTTCATCACGTTCATAATGTTTTTCTGCTTGTCTATTTTTTTCCTTATCCAGAATCCCAAAAAAGAAACCCAACGTGATCAACAACCCAAAACCTCTTCCTGAAGGCTTCTAGACTCATCGCTGACAAAAACCAGAAAAGTTTGTGCACGGCTATTGGACTTTTAGCCTTGTTCTTGAATGCCAATCAAGATATGAAAAGTTAAGCACTTATGCAGAATGCAGATTATTTTTTAGTTCTACCGTTCGTTTTGTTAGAATTTCATTATTTCACTTTTTCATTTTTGGGATTAAAGCTTGGATGTTGTTGTTGTAGCTTACCTTTAGAAAAAAATGGATTATCGAATTTTGCATGTCACTGTCTCTCAAATATGTAGTTCCCTTGATGAGTATGATTTGCTGTGTGCTTTTGGTGAAAGATTGGTGCAACATATTGAGATTTTGAAAACCGACGGGGTTGAGTTTCAACCCTTGGTATATTTTGATTCATCTCTAGAGTCGAAGGCACAGAAACTGCCCTATTAGAACTTCAAGGGAAGAATACTTATGAAGATGGTTTTAGAGTGAAAATACTGTATGAGCCCACTACTGCATTCATCATCTCCTTCGTGGGCAACAACCCCAGTGTGATAGGTAATAGACCAGTTTACAGTAATTTGAGAGAAGTAACAATGGAAGGAGCTCATATAACAGAAAAGAAAGAGAGAAAATACAAGGCAGTTAAAGAGTGCCAACTCTCCGAGTCTCAAGCCCAAATGATAATTCTAGCCTCCTCTTGCTGCACACTTGACACTTCCCTCCTATTTATAATACTCTAGTACTCTTCTTATTTATTATTATTCTACCCGAGTCCCTATCATTACTCCCCCTTTGACAACCATCTTGTCCTCAAGGTGGGTGATAGGAAACAGCCCTGACGAACAACCTCATCTTCTTCTTTGCGCCTCTTTGATAGGAACTTTTAGGTCTCTATCAATCTTCCTTCCCAGTATCTCTCAAATTTCAGGACCCTGAGCTTCATGAACTCATAGACAGCAGGGAGAGCATGGGGCTGTGCGGAAGAGGAGGGTCCGAGACCCAGGCCTGTGTCGGGTTACTGCAGGCGGGGATGGGCTTGAGCCCAAGTTCGTGGGCTGGCTACAGGTCATTGGTTTCCTATTGAGCGTTCTGCTGCAAGATCGATTCGGGCTGCTCTGCGAAGCCATTCCGCACTTCCTTACGACAGTTCCGTATCTCCTTGCGGGTAAGTTCCCATTTGCGCTGCAAACTCTGCAACTTACTTTCCATCGTTCCTTGAGTGGCGACCATTGACAGGCGACACAAACGATGCTCTGATACCAATGTTAGGTAATAGACCAATTTACAATAATTTGAGAGAACTAACTATGGAAGAAATCAAGATATGTAACAATGGAGGTGGTTTGTATAACGGAAAAGAAAGAGAGAAAATACAAGGCAGTTAATGAGTGCCAACTCTCCAAGTCCCAAGCCCAAAAGATAATTCCAGCCTTCTCTTGTTACACACTTCCCTCCTATTTATACTACTCTAGTACTCTTCTTAATTTCTATTATTCTGCCCGAGTCCCTATCACACTGCCAGCTTTAATTTCTTCTTTGCGCCTCTTTGATAGGAACTTTTAGGTCTCTGTCACTCTTCCTTCCCAGTCTCTCAAATTTCAGGACCCTGAGCTTCATGAACTCATAGACAGCAGGGAGAGCACGGGGCTGTGCGGAAGAGGAGGGTCCGAGACCCAGGCCTGTGTCGGGTTACTGCAGGCGGGGATGGGCTTGAGCCCAAGTTCGTGGGCTGGCTACAGGTCATTGGTTTCCTATTGAGCGTTCTGCTGCAAGATCGATTCGGGCTGCTCTGCGAAACCATTCTGCACTTCCTTACGACATTTCCGTAATCTCCTCGCGGGTAAGTTCCCATTTGCGCTGCAAACTCTGCAACTTACTTTCCATCGTTCCTTGAGTGCCGGCGACCATTGACAGGCAACACAAACGATGCTCTGATACCAATGTTAGGTAATATACCAATTTACAGTAATTTGATAGAACTAACTATGGAAGAAATCAAGATATGTAACAATGGAGGTGGTTTGTATAACGGAAAAGAAAGAGAGAAAATACATGGCAGTTAATGAGTGCCAACTCTCCAAGTCCAAAAGATAATTCCAGCCTTCTCTTGTTACACATTTCCCTCCTATTTATACTACTCTAGTACTCTTCTTAATTTCTATTATTCTGCCCGAGTCCCTATCACACTGCCAGCTTTAATGTTGCCACAAAAACAACCAACTCCCCATCATTCGTTACTTCCAGAACATCCTCCTCTGGTTCAAACAACTCCATTGCACTAAGCTTTACCATTACAAAAGCAGTCACCACTGACTACCTTGCCACAAACAAAAAATTGCAATCACTATCAAAAAAATTGATAACAGAAACTCCTCTTTTTGGGGCAGCTGCTATCACTAGATGAGTCATCTCTGCTGCCTGCCAAGATCACACGAACATTGCTTTCAATTTCGAATCACATAAGGGGCGCACCAGATGCTTCAGTTGAGGAGGAATTGAATCTGAATCCTTCCACCGCACATCCACCTACATCAACATTTGTAAATTATTTTTATGATTTACAAGTGATGCCTTTATGTGAAGTAGCTTTGCAATGGGAAATCTTCCCAAACCTGATGCTTGAGTGTATCTTGTGACACGACAATAATTGGTATGGGAAAAGCACCCAAGAGGCAACCAGAGGATTTAATTTCCCTTACTTGGAACAATGCCATGACTTTATAGTAGCTTATACTACTCAATTTGGGTTAGCGCTAGAGTCAGCAAATCTGAAATGGGGAAATATCACAAATGATGCTTTTGTAATCAGACCATTTGATCGTAGCAAAGACAGACATTACGGGTTACTTCCCTTCAAGCTTGAGGAAAAGCTAGATGCCCAAGATGGGAGTAAAGGTATGAGCAAAGGAACCTAATAGTATTATTATTACAATTACTATTATCCATATGTATGCTTTAGACAGTTTCTTAATTAGCATTTACTTCGTTTTATAATTAGGGCTCTTGTAATAGCTATATAAGGGTCATCGGTATTACTCAATAAACAACTTGGGAAGGATTCATTCATTCGTGTCTTGACAAGGTTGGGCATTGATTAATTATAGTTTAGCCTGTTTCATTCGTGTGTGTATTTCCCCCTACGGCCTACCAACATTGACTTCTCACTCTCTCTATACACACAAAGAGACACATATATCCTAACAAACCCGAGCTATATTCCTACCTTGTTTTAGCACCATGTTTGTTTTATGGGCGTGGTTGGGATCTCATTTCGGATTTAGGAAATAGAGAATATGAGTACTTACATGATGTGAGGAATTTCAAATACTTGGATGTTATTCCACATTTTTATGGATTTAAAATTTAGTGGATATTAAAATACTCCCCATCGAACATGAAAAAAATAGAGTGTTCCGGATTATAGGAGAAAAAAATTAAATTCCTCCCAACCAAACATGTTGTATGTATTAGAAGCTCATGTAGATTCAAGGCATGGTTTAAAAGGCACTTACAGGGCGGGTTTTGAGGCACGCCTCAAGGTGAGGCGTATAGATTGGGTGTCAGGGCTTAGGTTTTTTCACAGTTCAAGAGGCTTACGCCTCAAAAGTTATGACTTAAGCCTAGAGGCGCACCCTGAGGCGTTTTCTTGTGGCGGCTTACCTTTATTTCTGTATTTTTAATGTGCAATAAATTTAAAAATTCATCTAGTAAAAAGCCCAAGTATGCTATGAATAGAAGCCCATAAATTAAACATGTGTCTACACTAAACCCTAACAAGCCTTGTTTCATTTAAACCCTAACAAGTCTTTGTTTCACTTGAACCCTAACGTATACTTTCTATTTATTGTTAAAATAATTTCATCCTCCTGGACAAATAAGTCTTTCTCTTGCACATTATCATGTTTGATAATGTGGTCTATTTGTGTATTTGAATTCTCACTTTTGAACTATCATGTTTGATGATGTGGCCATATCTTTTACTAACTTATTGGTATTAGCTCATATGTGTTTGTGTTACATACTTACATACTTTTTGGACTTATAATTATGGACATCTTTAGTTGTTTGGTACTAGTTTTACTATTTTAAGTATCGTTTGTTGGTATGTTTTGAGGCTTACGCCTCGCCTCTTCGGAACAAACCGCCTTGATACCCAAACTAGCCTTTTTAAACCTTGATTCAAGGTGCTACCATAGCATCATTATGGAGACACAATTCAATTATAGAGAACATTATATACTGAAACTCAAAGAAAATTATCAAATTCAAACGCATACATTACAGAGGTTTCATCAATTTTTTCTTCATCTGCAAGTCTGTATGTCATCAAGTATAACCACATTGCATCTGTAATGCGGTCAGGAATAGGTTCTCCAGCTTTCCATTCAGGAATGCGCGGTCGGAGCATTGAACCAAGAACAGACTTACCTGACTCATAAATTCTGGATGTGCTTACGCCATTCAGGACAGCAAGATATGGCAGTTCTTCAAAAATCCTAAAAGCGTTCTCGCCCAGAGGCCCAGGTATATCCACCTGATCCATTTCTCTCATTAGACTTTTTCCATGTTAAATTCTAAGAGTTAGGCCTCCTGAAGATACCTCCAGAGAACGCAAGCAACTGAATTGCTTAAGGAGCTTCAATAAATCACTTGCAGTGTTGTGGTCCAATGGATTTCCACGAATATTCAAGTGTGAGAGAGATGGCATTTCAGCAGGAGAAAATGCCTTGACTCAAGAAAAAAGTGAAAAAGAAAATGAGACAGGACTAAAATAGAAGCAAAACAGGCAATACAAGTATGAATGAATTTATAACCAGTAATTTGCATTCCATTTTCAATCATTACTGTTTATCCTGCACTTTTTGAACCAGATAAAGAAAACAGGTTGAAAGGCAGACACCTTATTGAGGAGGTTGCTAATCGATCTATCGGATAGGTCTAAAGAATCAATGGAGAGCAAGGGGTGGTCACCGTGATATACACATTCTGGACTGTCTTTATTGTAAATTTCTCCACAATAACCTAACGCCCACTCACCATAATGTGGAGTGAACCTAGAATTGAAAATTTCCAATCTAAGGCAGCCTTGAAGAATGGCATCTTCCAGACGACCATCACTGAGAAAAAAAAATCAAATACTCATTACTCTTAACTTGTGAAGCAAAAATCTACTATAAGAATTACGAACAAATTACGAGCTTACTCATTTTCCAAAATTGGATTGTTATTCAACCATAGAGCTCTGAGATTATTGAGTTGGGTAATCTCCTTTACAAGATTTTCAACATTCTTGAGGTTGTTGCCACACAAACTTGTTGCAAGCAGATTCTGGTTCAAAATGAAGTAGTTGTGGCCTTATGGGACATTAAAAGATAGGAACTAAACATGTTGTCTTCAACTAAAAACTGTGATCTGATGTGAACTCTTAAGATCTGATCTTGTCGAAATCATTGGGAATAAATAATAGGCGAAAAGAATAAGGTGAAAAAGAACACAGCCTAAGAACATTAGTTAACATAGCCTATTAGGTAGTAGGAAGTGATGAGCATACAGGAAATTTATGAGGCAAATCAAGAGAAGAAAGCATATGATCATCAATTCCAAGGTCATCAAGCTCCAACCACCTTGAAGCATCACCTCCTTCTGTGACCTTAATGACTTCTCTTGCAACTATTTCCTCAGCACTCAATTTAGGATCATCTTCAGCTCCACCGGTGTCACCTACCTCAACAGTGTGTGACAAATCAGCATCCAAACACATTAATGCAGCCATTCGTTCTGCCAGTCCGGGGACTTCCTGTAACTGTAATTGTGGGAGAATAACCAGAACTTCAAATGTGAATAGCCAATAACGTAAGTACATAACATGTGAATATGTTCATAATATCTCAAGTCTCAACCTAGGCTCTATTAGTGATTAATCACGCATGTTCGCTCGTACTTTTGAATCAGGTTGAATATATCTAGACCATCTTCAAGTTAATCAAAAATGTTTGGAGGCTTATATTCCAAACTGTGATAATCTTATTTCATGTTATCATACTACATATATATATAGGTTTTGGTTCAAATAAGAACACGATCTTAGGAGAGAAATGAGAATGAATCTGAACCGTTAGATTTGCTTTGAGTGAAATTCAATGTGCATTAGATGAAACTGTAATGTGCATTAGGTGAAATTGAAATGTGCAACACAAAGGGTACGATACAGTGTCATTATGTGAAGCTGAATTGTGTAATAGGTGAAATTGAAATGTGCACTAGGTGAAACTGAAATGTGCAGAATAAAAGGTATGATGTGCTGTTATTTTTGTACCTGTTATTTCGCACATTTCAGTTTCAGCTAAAGCACACTTGAATTTAAATTTTTATTTTGCACTTTTCAATATCATCTAATGCACATTTCAGTTTCACTAAATGCACATTTCAGTTCCACATAATACAATCCAACGGTTCAATATTCTCATTTCTCTCCTAGGAGTCCGTTCTTACCGGAACTGCTCCCTATATATATATATAGAGAGAGAGAGAGAGTTATTCTCCTGTCCAGCACTTTTCTGTCAGAACGCCGTCCGAACACCGTCGTTTAGGGCGGTTCACGACGGAATTTTTTGATGAGATTTTTTGAGCATGTTCCTAATCAAGTCTAGTTTATACATGCCAAATTTCAGCTCAAAATTCGATCAGGAAGGCAGTCAAATAATTCGTTGAAGTTAACTGCGCCAAATTATACATAGAAAAACGCAGTTAACTTCAACGAATTATTTGACTGCCTTCCCGATCGAATTATGAGCTGAAATTTGGTATGGATAAACTATACTTAACGAGGAACATGCTCAAAAAAATCATCAAAAAATCCCAACGGAAACCGCTCCAAACGGCGGTGTTCGGACGGCGTTCGGACCGGGAGGTGCTGGACCTGAGAATTTTTCTATATATATATATATATATATATGCATGTGTTAGCCTCACTTTTATATTTGCTTTGCCTGGCTAGATAATTTTCAAATAGAAGTGATAAACACTAAAAAATAAGAAGGGAAATGAAGAATACCAAATAACTGCATTATAATTTTATTGGACTCCCTATATATTTGAAAATTATCTAGCCAGGCAAAGCAAATATAAAAGTGAGGCTAACACATGCATAGGCGCATGGGTAGTAAATACATGTAATTGACTCAGCTGCGCATGCGCAAAATTAGACTCATCCATCATCCTTACCACCAATAGTTCCTTACTGAACCGCATCTATGCCCCGAGGGCTTTTCAGTTTTTCACTATTTTACACAATCAAACGTTGAGTCCAATGAGAGTCAACACATTTCCCGTAAACTATCCCAGAAACCAAACAGCACAATCGAACCTGCTTATAGGCGTCAGCGAGGCGGAAAGTCCAAGCATGGTCAACCAGAAAGAGATCAGACTCCTTAGCCAAATAATCTGAAGTGAACAGCAGGCGTCTTTGCGTTCCGTCCTCCATTGGCTCGATCTGAAAGTGTTGGCCGCCGTCGAACGTTTGTTCTGCGAGCTTCCGGAAGAGCAGGGGGTAGAGTTTCAGCGGTATTCCGGAGGAAGCTAATAGCACGCCGTGGACTTTAATGAAGTCGTCGTAAGATAGCATGGCGGGCAATTGCACTGGTCCTAGAGACCCTAACAATAAGTTGCGACTGAGACCGACGAGGAATTTAGGCTAAAGACCATCCTTGAAGGCTACTTCGGTAGTTTGTTTATACGAGTCAATGGCATGTTTGAATGAAATGAAATTGGTAGTTTATACGAGTTAATGTCCTCTTTGAATGAAATGAAATGTTGGGAGGGATTAAAGGAGTGTTCGAGAAAAATTTAAAAAAGCCTTTTTGAGCTGTTGGTTTAATTGTTTTAAAAAAGCTGAAATAGGTGTTTTCAATTGAAAGTTTCTACTTAAATTAAACATTTAAAATTAAAAGTTGGAAGCAGATTGAGGGGTGTTGTAAACTGTTTTTCATTTTTTTCATTTTTATTATCCAAAAAGCACTTGTTTTATCAAACGTGAGAAAGGCCAAAAATGACACTAAGGTTATTTGAGAAACTCATATTGGACACTAAGCTTTAAAGTAGACCAACTTAACACAAAATTTAAGTTGATGCATCATATTTGGACACGGGTGGCTTTCCCCGTCAATTATGAGGTTACCGTCCATCTTGGTCCAAAACCTAAAGAACACTCACTCTCACTTCTTCACACCCCATATAACGGCCAACTCTTTGAAAATCCTCCCTCTTCTCGCGACAGCTCGTTTTGACTCCAGTTGACCTGTAAAACTCATCACTTATTTTCCCTCTTCGCACAAGATCATGTTTTTGATCTGACAGATCTGCGAGACTCATCACTTGCACTCGGAATTGGAAATAGCAATGCAAACAGTGGCAGGTGAGGAATTGACTATCCACACTCCTTGTTAGTGAATAATTTCCATTTCGTTGGCCTAGATTGGGGAGTTACTCCTTCAGGTAATTTTCTCAGCCCATTCTATTTTGAAACAACAATATGTGAAAGTGAAACCGGTGGTCAAGCTATGGTTTTCCTTGATTTGGAGGAAAGTAAAGATATGATTGGACTGAATATGGTTTCTTATAAGTGAAATTGGACTCAATATGGCTTTGTAAGAACGAACGTAACAGAAAAGTGGACATTCCAGAGTGGAGTGTGGCAGGGGAATCCATTTGGGTAGCACTAACAGCTTCTTCCAAGTATTGGATGTCGATGAACTTCTTGTTTTGGGCTCCGGCAAGTGAAGGTTTTTCCGTGAAAAGAGTTGTGGGCAGAGAAGGGTGTGACGAAGGTGGGAAAAGGGTCACGAGACCATTGGAGGGCAAGATGAGGACGGGGTAAGAATGAAGATAGAGGACAGAGGAAAGTGAAGGTCTGAAGATGGGCCAAATGAGCAGAAAAGACGGTGGTGGAGAAAAGAAGCAATGTGATCGGAGTCCGCTGATGAAGTCGGCCAAGCTGGTGAAGAAATTGACAGTGGCGTTGGGCTATTAACGATCCAACGTTGTTGGACTTAACGGAAATATAAGTGGGTGGCTAAATATAACCCAAATAAGTTGATTATGTGTTAATTTGGTCTACTTAAAACTTTAGTGTCTAATGTGAACTTTGTAAATAACTATAATGTCATTTTTGAGTCTTCTTCCTTTATCAAACACTACCAACTTTTACTTTTTCAGAATCATTTTTTCTCGAACACTATCAATTTTTATTATTAAATATTTTTCCCAAAACTCCATGACCCCCCAGGACCCAACATTGCTTGGGTACCTAAATCTTTCTTTTGATCTTGCAGGAACTGTGTGCTGGAGCTATCTCAGAGCAAGAATGGTTTATTGATAGTGGATGCTCCAGGCACATGACAGGTGACAGAAGTTGCCTAACAGAGTTCCAGAAATGCAAAGGACCTAGAGTTACCTTTGGAGGTAATGACAAAGAAGGTCAAACAAAAGGAAGAGGGAAGCTGATCAAGAACCAGATAGTCATTGATGATGTCTCATATGTTAAAGGACTGAAGTTCAACTTGCTGAGTGCTAGCCAATTCTGTGACAAAGGCTACACTGTTGAATTCACAAAGGACTTCTGCTATGTGAAGCATGAGACAACAAAAGAAGTGGTTCTTACAGCATCAAGGAAGAAGAACATCTATGTGGTTGATTGGAACATTGCAAAGGATGGAGTTTGCCTGATAGCCAAGGGAGATTCAAAACTAAGCTGGGACTGGCACAAGAAGCTTAGCCATTTGAACTTCAAAACAATCAACAAACTGGCAAGAGAACACATTGTTGATGGACTGCCAGACATAGTTTACAAGAAAGAGACCTTCTGCAATGCATGCCAGAAGGGAAAGTAACAGAAAAACTCTTTAAAATCCATTGCTGGAGATCTTTCTACAAGTCCTTTAAATCTGATCCACATGGATTTATTTGGACCTGTTGAGACTCCAAGTGTTGGTGGCAAGAAATACACCCTAGTCATGGTTGATGACTATTCCAGATATACATGGACTATCTTTATGTCAAAGAAGAATGAAACTCTTCAGAAGTTGCCATCTCTGTTAAAGCAACTTCAGACTGAGAAGAACTTGAAGGTTAAGACAATCAGGTCTGACAGAGGAACTGAATTTGTCAACCAAGTCATAAAGGACTTCTGTGATCAAAATGGAACCTTTCATCAACTCTCTGCTGCCAGAACCCCTCAACAGAATGGCGTAGCAGAAAGGAGGAACAGAACATTAAAAGAAGCTGCAAGGACAATGATTGCAGAATCTGGACTACCTATGAGATATTGGGCTGAAGCAATCAACACCGCATGCTATACCCAGAACAGAAGCATGATCAACAAGAATCACCAGAAGACCCCTTATGAACTCTGGAAAGGTAGAAAACCTAACATCAGTTACTTTCATATATTTGGATGCAAATGCTACATCCTTAACAATGGAAATGAGCATCTGAAAGTCTTTCAAGAGAAAGCTGATGAAGGTATCTTAATAGGCTATTCAAACACCAGTAAAGCCTATAGAGTACTCAACAGAAGGACTCTACATGTCGAAGAGTCATACATGTGAAGTTTGATGATAGCACCTCTGTTAAAGAAGTAACAGATGTTGGAAATATGATGATATAAACATTATTTTTAGGGTCACATTATTGTGTCCTAAGATATAATTGTATTAAATATGGAGAGGTGGCTGATAATACATCAAAGAATAACTAACATATTTGGATTTAAAATTTGAATCCATAGTTGTAAAGATTGTAAAGTGATGTATTAAATCAATGATTTTATTTGTTTCATATTAGAGGCTGAATCGTCTCGTATGATTATTTATAATCATTATATGATAAGGAACATTGTTCAAGTATCATATAAGGTGAAGTGACATTTTAATTTTCACTTGTATGTGCGTCTGACCGGACATATTATAAGTGATGGAATTGATGTCGAGATTCTAGAGACTCTCTAATTGTGTGAACAATATAATGTAATAGCTGATAGGATTTTAAATTGAATTCAAATTCAAAATAATTATCCTTAATGCTATTAATGGGATTCATAAACATGGATCAGTTTTGCCATTTACTTCTCATGTTTTAAAACTGATTTTTGATTTCCGTTGAAACACCCCAGCGCATGCTCCTTTAATTCTTTCAAATATATATGAACCCACTGCATGCTTCTTTGGAATACTCACGTACGAAGTAAACTTCCAGAAATATCAACATTTTTTTACATTCTTTAAGTGCCAATACACCTGTCTTCAAGGAATTGATTTTCCTTTGCTTTTGAGAGCATAAAATCCATAGCTTCTTTCGTTGAGTTTCTCTACTTTCCAAAGGCAAATTGGGCAACGGTCGGAGGTTTCAGTCGAGGTAGCTACAAGTCTGAAACGGAGTAGGATTATCCTGGGAGCGAGCTAGCCAGACCCGTCTGAGTAGCTATCAGGATACGGGGGCTATCTTTCTTCAAGGCCAGTCCGTTTTAACGGGCGATCCTGCGATAAGCTTTCTTATCCTTTCTATTATTTCATTTCATTTATTCTAATTATTTTTTGTTTAATTTTGTTCTTGCATTTGGCGGTTTGTCTGGTGATTTGTTCAAACTCGGGATTTTTATCTGGTTAAACTCGCAATTTTTAATATCGTTTTTCTAACAATCTTGAAGAAAGATAATATTTCTCGAGTTTTGGAAAATCCAAAAATGGCAAACTTGGAAAATGTTGTTAACAATGAAACTGTTGGTTTAGAGAATGTTTTTGGTTCCCCTGAAAATGATAATACTATGTCTGCCACTAATTCACAAGGCACACCTGAATATATTGCTACGGGCTCGCACAGGGTGGATTTAACCGGTATGCCTGAAAAATTTTCTGGGCATTTTTTCAAGCGTTGGCAACAACGCATGAAAATTTGGTTAATCACCAAGGGCTTGCTTTCAGTGATTATGACGGTGTGTCCCCCCGTTGTTGAATCGGATCCCAAAAGTCTTGAACGCCAAGCTTCATGGCGTGAGAGGGATGAAATTGCAAAAGGCATGATTTTGTTGGGTCTCTCCAACATGTTATTTGATGTCTATTGCACCCTCCACGGCACGGCTAAGGACCTTTGGGATGAGTTGGATAGAAAATATAATACTGATGACCACGGTCTTGAAAAATATATTGTTTCTAAATTCCTACGATTTGACATGAAAGAGGGAAAATCAGTTTTAGAACAGACACAAGAATTTGAGCTTATCTTACATTCTCTTCGTGAAGCAGACATGGAATTGCCTGAAAAATTTAAAGTGATGGCGGTCATAGAAAAATTTCCCAAATCATGGGAAGATTTTGGTATGACTTTAAAACATAAAATGAAAAAGATCACTTGGAAATCTTTGATGCATTCCATTACTGTTGAGGAGGAACATAAGAAAGCGGGTTATATTGCGCCTGTTGAATTTCAACCGAAGGCTCATGTTATAACTGGGGGGAAGCAAGCACATAACTCTAAAAATAAGCAGCCATCATCTTTTAAACCAATAAAGGCCAAATTAAAAATTGCAAAGAAACCAAAAGCAAACCGTCCATGCTGGAACTGTGGACAGATGGGGCATTGGGCTAAATTGTGCCCAAATAAAAAGGCTAAGGCTCAATCTGGTGGACCTCAAGTCAACATGGTGACTGGAGGAACTAGTTCCGATGGCCTGCGGTTGGAAGAACAGTGATGATGGGAAACACAAGTGCTGCTAGTGTGCATGGAGTTGGAAAAGTAGAAATAAAATTCCCTTCGGGAAAAAT